TTACATTTTATACCCTAATGAGTTGTGGCACCATTACTGCAAAAGAAAACAAAACTTCAGCTTTCAGAGTTGTTTAGATTTCTGAATGGCATGCAGGGCTTAATGGCTCATACCGGTAATCCTGGCACTTGTGGAGGCCAAGGTGGTGGACTGCCTGAGCCCAGGGGTTCAAGACCATCCTGGCCAACATGGGGAACCGCTGTCTATACAAAAAGTACAAAAATTAGCTGGGCATGGTGGCATGTGCCTGTAATAATCCCAGCTACTTGGGAGACTGACATTGGAGGCTCATTTGAGGCTGCAGTGAGCCATGACTATGCCACTGCACTTCAGCCTAAGTAACAGAGCAAGAACCTGTCTCAAAAAAAAAAAAAGAACAACAAAAAAAAAGGATTTCTAAATGGCAAATAAAGAACTGTAGACCTGACCTGGGTTGTTACTATTACTGCCAATATTAATACCAGTCCTCATACAAAGGACTAAGATCCCGTGTCTACCTTTAAGATTTGTAAAGTCCTACAGCTATATTCTGATGCTAGATAGTGGTAACCTTGTGTAGTCCTAAACTGGTTAGTGTGAAATAGTTCTGCCACCTCTGAGGCACCACTACCAATGCTGCACATGCTGCAGTTGCCCCTTGAGCCAGAGAGATGTTCCTTTGTTATATAACTTCCTGGCTCCTTCACTGAACATGCCTAGTCCAACATTTTTTCCCAGTCAGTCACATCCTGGCATTCATTGTATAGATCCAATATCACATGTCTTGTTCCAAAGGATCTTATTTTGTGAACTGTATACATCAGTAGTGTACATTACCATACAATGTAAAAAGATCTACATATAAACAATGCAACCAACTATCCAAGTGTTACACCAACTAAAATTACCCCGAATAAACCTTGAACAGTGAAAAAAAAAAGAATGGTTATTCATATGATGAGCCTAACTAAAACACAGACTAGTAGATTAGAAATATCAAGACACTGGCAAGAATGATAGGAGACAGAGCTAAGGATAAGAGGTATTATACTGGCCAAGGTCTCAATGGTATAAGAAAGAAATAGTTGGAAAAAAAAAAAAAGAAATAGGTGGAAGAAAAGCAATTACAATCAGGCATCTTCAACTGAGATAGTACTTTCTTCTCTTCAGGGAACTGTTTTGTTACAGCAGCCCCTTGATCCCATCTCTCAAGAAGTTCTAGGAAACAAAAAAAAAAAAAAAAAGAAGTGCCGGCTGGACGTGGTGGCTCAAGTCTGTAATCCCAGTGCCTTGGGAGACTGATGTGGGAGAATTCCTTGAGGCCAGGTATTTGATACAAGCCTGGGCAACAAAGCAAGAATCCGTCTCTACAAAAAATTTTAAAAATTAGCTGGGCATGGTGGCACACACCTGCAATCCTAGCAACTTGGGAGGCTAAAGTGGGTGGACCACTTGAACCTGGACATTTGAGGCTACAGTGGGCTATGATGGCACCATTGCACTCCAGCCCAGGAGACAGAGGGAGACCCCATCTATAAAAAAGTAGTGCTTTCTCTTTACCCACTGAGAAAGGGTTCTGCTGAGGTGAGAGGTTGAAGAATGCTAATTCAGGGCCATACTCTACCTTCTTTCCCATTAGTCTTCAATAAAAGCTTGCCTATGCTTGGCTGGGATACACAAAGAGACATAAAATTAATACTTCGATCTTGCTCTAAGATATTAGGGAGGACTTCTTTCTCCTTGTTCTCCTAACATCTGCTCTCAAGAAAATTCACCTACTTCCTCTCTTCTGTACTCTTCCAGGAAGTTAAGTGGAACACAAGAGAAAGGTACAATTATGTTTGTAAAACATAGCTGAGAGTTTCTATCAAATAATCGGTACATTTTAACTTGTTTGCTTAAAGTAATCTGCTAAACTCTGATTGACAAGTCATAATTATTAAAATATGAACTTTTGGCTGGGCACAGTGGCTCACACCTGTAATCTCAACACTTTGGGAGGCAGAAGGGGATAGATCACTTTTGAGTTCAGAAGTTTGAGACCAGCTTCACCAACGTGGTGTAACCCTGTCTTTACTAAAAATATAAAAATTAGTCGGGTATGGTGGCACACACTTGTAATCCCAGCTACTTGGGAGGGTGAGGCAGGAGAATTGCTTGAACCAGGGAGGTGGCAGTTGCAGTGAGCCAAGATCACACCACTGTACTCCAGCCTGGGTGACAGAGTGAGACTCTGTCTCAAAACAAACAAACAAAAATAAAAACTTTCAGTTAGTCAACCAAGGTGTAAACAGGTCAACCTATGTTAGAATAGGAAGCCAATGGATAAGACTAAGAAGTACAATGTCAAATCTTAACTCCTTATAGCCAAAACAAACACTGAAGCTGACCGACAAGCAATTAATCTCTACTTTCTCTAGTAGAAATGGCACAGAAAATGCTGTTACATAAAAACACGTATCTGAAAATATCAAAATATAACCACTCTTGGTTTACCAGAACAGCTGAGAACTGGATGAAATACTAATGTCTAAGAAGCTGTTTAAAAATGAAAACGAATACTTTGGCTGGGTGTAGTGGCTCATGCTTGTAATCCCAGCACTTTGGGAGGCCAAGACAGGAGGAGCTCTTGTGCCCAGGAAAAAGGCACTGCAGTGAGCCATGATCATGCCACTTCATTCCAGCCTGACTAACAGAGACCCTGTCTCAGAAAAAAGACAAAACAAAACTTTCAGCAGTGAGTATAGTCATTCAATCTCCAGACACTGTCATTCTTTTTCTTTTGAGATGGAGTCTTACTCTGTCACCCAGGCTGGAGTGCAGGAGCGCAATCTCCACTCACTGCAATCTCTGCCTCCTGGGTTCAAGCGATTCTTCTGCCTCAACCTCCCAAGTAGCTGGGACTACAAGTGTATACCACCACATCCGGCTATTTTTTTTTTTTTTTTGGTGTTTTTAGTAGAGACGGGGTTTCACCATGTTGACCAGG